CAAAGATCACCCAAATCGACTCAATTACTAAATGATCATAATTACCAAATTAAAAACTGAAACAAGATAATCTCCTAAAATAAGATACTTTCCAGAAATATAAAATACTTATTATTCGTATGATTCATAACATTACTCCCCTCCTCCACATTGAGCTTGTCCTCAAGCTCAATAGTCACCCATTAGTGTCGTTTTCCTCATTATCCATCATGATGCAAAAGAGCTTGGCACATTTATGCCCAATCGATAATATTTCATCACAGTCGAAGCACAAGCCTTTTGCCCGCCTCTCTGCCATTTCTGTAGTCGTTAGTTTTTTCCAGGCCGGATTTAGTGTTTTAGTTTTGTAGTTTCCAGCTCCTCCCTTTCTTGCTGGCTCTCGTTTTTGGCTTGCAGTCGAGGTTTGGTTTCCTGTAGGCCTGACACCTATTGGTTGTCCTGCTTCTGCCACCCTTATCTCAATTTGTCTTGCTAGATTCATGGCATAGTATAGATTTATGGGTCTCGCAAATTCAACCTCATATCTTATCACGTTTGTTAGCCCCGCACAAAAGTGCCAAATGCTTTGCTCCGGTGTGACCCCCGTCGTCCTACCCAACAACAATTCGAAGCTTTCACAGTAGTCTTCTACTGTCCCAACTTGTCGAAGCCGAGTTAACTCCCCTAAGGGATTCAAGCTCATAGGCGGCCCGAAACGGATTTTGCATTCTTTCGAAAACTCGACCCAATTCAAACGATTTTTCATCCTTCTCAGGTTTCGGTACCACCCGCTTGCCCGTCCCTGTAGGGCGAAAGTTGCTTGGCGGACCCAAGCCTCCGGCGGTGTTTGCTGTTCTTCGAAGAAGTCCTCACACTTCTGTAACCATTCGAGTGGGTCACCCTTTCCCTCATATACCGGAAACTCCATCTTGGGGAATCTAGGCACCCGATCGCCACGGTAACCTCCTTCATCAAAATCATCCCAACTTTTATGCACCTGTTCTTGTTCAATATGTCGATTGTGTCCCGATCCTTCGGCTTTGTGGAAATCCCAGCGGTGTTTAAATGATTGTGGTTCTGCATTGCGCCAAGAATCCGATCCCTTCCCTACTCCCCGTCCTGTTCCCAAGGGGTTTGATCCAAACGACCCCCTGCCTCGATCTAACACCGTGAAGGAACTCGTCATCTTGCTTCCTGGTGCGTTGCCGGTGATGATTCCCTTGCCCCTTCCTCGGCCTAGCTCGCTGCTATCTTCAAATTGCTGGTCCATCTCTTCTTCTTCCTCGCTTGCTTCAGACCCTTGTTTGTTAACCTTGTTTTGGGATTGTGATAAACTCTCTTCCAGCGCCGCATGCTTGGCCTGCAAGGCTTCGACTGCCCCCTTCAGTTCAAGGGTACTCTGAGTTTGCTAGACCATGAATGCTTCTAGCTTCTTCATCAATTCTTCCTGTTGAGTAGACATCACAAGCGGCTCTGATACCAAATTTGTTACGCCCCGGGATCTAGATCTCGTGACAGGACCTGTACTTGTACTTCCTACAGCCGTGAGTATTACTAACACCTAATCTCCTATTGAGAGGAGACTAGGGTAAACTATTCTAAAAGATTAAAAGCAATTGACTTCAAGCATAATTTTATTTCATAAACAACTACCCTTTAAATAGGGATAAACAAAATACTCTAATAAGGAAGCAAAGATCACCCAAATCGACTCAATTACTAAATGATCATAATTACCAAATTAAAAACTAAAACAAGATAATCTCCTAAAATAAGATACTTTGCAGAAATTAAAAATACTTATTATTCGTATGATTCATAACATTAACGAATAGAGTTGTATTTTTTTTTTTGAATTTGGATGTTATGTGTAATTTAATTTCTATGTTATTTTTAATCTTTAAAAATTGTTTTTATTATATGTTATTTATAATTTTTAAACATAATGTTTTATTTATTATGTTATATTTAAAAAATATTTGTTTAAATTAAAAAAAAAAAGAAATTCGAAAAAAAAAGTTATAAAATGGAAAAAAGTTGGTGTTATAACAAGATGGAACATGATGACCATTTCCTCATTTGGTGTTATAACACCATTGGTGATGTGGCATGTGAGGTGTCACCAAAATGATGTTACATCTACTTGGACACACCCAATGCTCTACGGAACTACCAAGTCAATTATTATTAACAAAGGTCCAATCCTGAAATTTTGTCTTGTGTTAACCTTGTTTTAAATCATTTAAACTATTACGGGCTGCGGCGCTGTAACCACTTCTGTGAACCACGTTTCACCCGATTCCCGTATGCTTGTCTCGCGGCTTCCCCGGGCAAATCTTCAAAATTTATCTTCCATCACTTCATCCTGCCGTTGCATCTTCCTTACACACATTCTAAACTTCCATTCATTTCGAGATGTATACTCCTCAAATGTCAGAATCGGCAACCTCTCCCGTACCGGGAAAATGGATCTTGCCCGTAAACTGTTCGACGAAATGCCTACTAGAGATGTTGTCTCATGGAACGCGGTCATCTCTGGCTACTGGAAAAACGGATTTATTGGAGAATCGAAGAGACTGTTCGATCTAATGCCTCTGAGAAATGTAGTGTCTTGGAACTCGATGATCGCTGGTTGTGTTGAAAATGGTATGATCGATATTGCATTTGCTTACTTTAGCGAGATGCCTGAGAGAAATACAGCGTCTTGGAATGCTATGATTTCGGGTTTTATTAGGTATAAAAGAGTAGACGAAGCTGTGGAGCTTTTCAAACAAATGCCAAAGAGAAATGTGATATCGTATACAGCTATGATTGATGGGTTTGCACAGAAAGGGGAGATTAGGAAAGCTAGGGAGTTATTTGACTCCATGACAACTCGTAATGAAGTTTCATGGACTGTGATGATCAGTGCGTATGTGGAAAATGAAGAATTTGATGAGGCTAGAGAAATCTTTGGTCGGATGCCATGCAAGAATGTAGTTGCTATAACGGCTATGATTACTGGTTATTGCAAGGAAGGAAAGATGGAAGATGCTGGGGTGTTGTTTGAAGAAATTGAATGTAAAGATGATGTTTCTTTTAATGCTATGATAACAGGTATGTTTACTTGACACAAGGGTAAAATGGTCATATACCCAAGTACTAATTCTTGATTGTTGGTAGGTTATGCTCAAAATGGGAGAGGTGAGGAAGCACTAAAACTACTCATCCGTATGATTCAAACTCCACTAAAACCGGATCAATACACCCTTGTTTCCATTCTTTCTGCATGTTCAAGTCTTGCATCATTAACAGAAGGCAAACAAACACACGCACTCGTATTCAAACTGAAATTAAGCACACATGTTTCTGTAGGAAACGCTTTGATCACAATGTATAGCAAATGTGGATGTCTTCCTGACTCTGAGTCGGCTTTTGAACATATAAAAACTCCAAATATTGTGTCTTGGAACACAATTATTGCAGCTTTTGCACAACATGGAGCATATGAGAAAGCTCTTGGATTATTTAAAAAGATTGAATTGCATGGAATTGAACCCGATGGGATCACCTTTCTTAGCTTGCTCTCAGCTTGTGGTCATGCAGGTACACAATTATTCGTTTTTATAATCTGCTTGCAAAAAATAGCAATGCACTTTCATCTGTCTGTTTATTTATGTCTTGACAAATCTAACTAAAACCAATTGTATTAATGTCATCCATACACAAAGCAAAGGTTTTTCAAAGTATAATAGTCGCTGAAATTTTAAGTGTTATTGATGATCCAGGTAAGGTAAAAGAGAGTTTATATTGGTTCAAGTCAATGAAATCTTTTTACAACGTGGCCCCACGTTCGGAGCACTACGCGTGTTTAATAGATATTTTGGGTCGATCTGGTGAAGTTAAAAAAGCTTATGAAATAATCCAAGAAATGCCATTTGAACCCGATTCGGGAGTTTGGGGTGCCATTCTTGCGGGGTGTCGTTTCAGCATGAATAATACCGAATTGGCGGAATTAGCTTTTGAGAAACTTACGGGTTTTGACCCTAAAAACTCAGGGGCTTATGTTATGTTGTCCAATATTTATGCTTCGTTGGGTTTGTGGAGACAAGTGACACGAGTGAGGGGTTTGATGAAGGAAAATGAGGTCAAGAAGCAAACCGGGTTTAGTTGGATGGAGATCGGGGATACGTCGCATTATTTTGTTGGAGGGGATGTGTCTCATTTCGCGATTACTGAGATTCGAATGCTGGTAAATCAAATCTACTCACAAATGAAACTTGCGGAGGATACTGCTTTTTGACTTGATGGATTTAACAAGAACAGGGTTTTAATCCGATATGTTGTGTTTGTATTTGACTTGATGCAAAAGGATCTCTACTTACCATAGAAAGTCAGATGATGTTTGGGATGTTTTCTGTGTTAATGTGTCATATCCAGGGTGTTGACAGCTGTTAAGTTGGTTAGCATAGTTGCGTGTGTAAAGCAGGCTTATAATACGACCTCTGAAATCATACTTAAGGACTCAATAAATCTAACAATACTGCATTACATCACTTTTTTTATTTTTATTTTCGTAAAAAAAAAAAAAAAACATTTCTAGCTTAATGATAAGTCATGTACGTCCTATTCAGTCATCAAGTAAAAAAGGAAGTGCTTTAAATTATGGAGAAAAGGTTTGATAGGAACATCTTCAACTACATCTTTAAAATTGATTCTCATGTTTTGCACAACAGCTGCTTTTTATTATATAATGACGTACTTCGAGCAATTTAGGAAAAATTATATAAGGCAAATTGAGTAATCTAACTCTTATTAACGAATAATTTTATAATAATCACATTATATA